GCATACACACTGAGGAAACCAGATCTGAAAGAGACACGTGCACCCCAATGTTCATCGCAGCACTGTTTATAATAGCCAGGACATGCAAGCAACCTAGATGCCCATCAGCAGACGAATGGATGAGGAAGCTGTGGTACATATACACCATGGAATATTACTCAGCCATTAAAAAGAATTCATTTGAATCAGTTCTAATGAGATGGATGAAACTGGAGGCCATTATACAGAGCGAAGTAAGCCAGAAAGATAAAGACCATTACAGTATACTAACACATATATATGGAATTTAGGAAGATGGTACCGATAACCCTATATGCAAAACAGAAAAAGAGACTCCGATGTATAGAACAGACTTGTGGACTCTGTGGAAGAAGGCGAGGGTGGGATGTTTCAAGAGAACAGCATCGAAACATGTATATCTAGGGTGAAACAGATCACCAGCCCAGGTTGGATGCATGAGACAAGTGCTCGGGCCTGGTGCACTGGGAAGACCCAGAGGGATCGGGTGGAGAGGGAGGTGGGAGGGGGGACCGGGATGGGGAATACATGTAAATCCATGGCTAATTCATTTCAATGTATGACAAAAACCACTGCAATGTTGTAAAGTAATTAGCCTCCAACTAATAAAAATAAATGGAAAAAAATTAATAAATAAAAAGGATGACATAAAAAAAATAAAACAAAATAAAATTGACAGCTACAACAGAAGGAAAAAAAAGAAATCCAAAAGAAGCTACAGAACAAGTCAAAACATAAGAATAGTAAATATTTTTCTTGAGTCAGTGCTGCCAGCATTCTTTTCCCTTGCTGGGAGTAACAGTCCACCTCACCCCACTAGGGTGCCTTCCAACACTGCACTGGTTTCTGGACCTGATGTGGGGGCAGCTCAGACTCTAATCTGGTCCTACTCCTGTGTACTGTTGTCTCCAATGTCCACAGCTATCAGAACTAGTGTGTTTCTTTGTGGGAACTCTCAGTGTCCTTTTATATATTCCATAGACACAGTGTCTGCCTAGCTGATCATGTGGATTTAATCTGCAGCTTGTATAGCTGATGGGAGGGGTTTGGGTCCTCTTCCTTAGCTACACTGCTCCTGGGTTTCAGTTGTGGTTTTATTTCCACCTCTGCATGTGGGTTGTCCACTGGGATTTGCTCCTGAAGCTGCCCTGGGGGACTTGGGTCTGCCCCAGTGAGGGCCAGGTGTGGAGGTGGTGCAGCTGCTTGGGGCACAAGGGTTCTGGAAGCACCAGATACTCAGGGGAGTTGGCGGCTAGAGCAACAGGAAATATAGTGCTCTAGAAGGGTATGGCAACCAGTATTGGCCAATACACTGCAATATTCTTGCCTGGAGAAACCCCTCTGACAGAGAAGCCTGGCAGGCCACAGTCCACAGTGTCATAAAGAGTTGGACATGGCCGAAGCGATCTCGCATGCATAGATGCAAGACTTTTTTTGCTTGTGGCAGCTCTGCCCCAGTGAGGGTTGAATGTGAAGGTGACGCAGTTGCTTGGGTCGTGGGGACCCTGGTGGTGCCAAGTGTGCAGGGACACGGACTGCCCCAGCAGCAGCAGTTATTGGCCCTACAGAGTCTTTTCGAGCCTCTGATAGCTGGTGATCAGAAGGCCTCTTTGGCCAGTCTTTCTCCATAGCTCTGCCCATTCAGGCACTTACAGGACTCCTGTGCCTGGGGTCCTTCTCTGTTGTTGGGCACATCAGGCACATAGAGGGCCCCCCCTGCCTGGGGTCCTACTCTGTAGTTTGGTGCATCAGTTCCTTATAGGAGCACCCTGGGTGGGTCCTACTCTGTATTTCAGGGCCTCAGACACTTGATGGGCCAGCCTCTCTATTGTTCAGCTGCCAATGCTGGCCTGTGGGGAGAGAGAGGCTATGGCGATGACTCCACCCCCTACACATGATTCAGCAGTATCGCCTTGCTTCCATGGCTTCCTGGCTTTCTTCCACAGGTATTTCCCACCGCAATCTCCTCCCTCACGTCCCAACAGTCTGTCTCTCTGCAGTCAACAGCAGCCCTCGCCCTGAGATTGCTCCACAATCCTATGCACCAGCTCCCAGCCACTGTGCCTTCTAGGGGACCTGTTTCCCTGTCCAGGCTGTGTATGGCTGTGGCAAGGACTGTCTGATTCTCATTACATTTAAGCTGCCACAGATCAGCTGTTTCACTTTCGGCTTTAAATGTTTCTCCTCTGACTCAGACAGTTGCCCCGATGTGGGGATTGGATCCCTGCTTCAGTCCCCCCACCCACAGAGGGCAGGTCCCATCCTACTAATACACCTGTTTCTCCCCCTAGTTCCTTTGTCCTACCAAGTTTTGCGTGGTTCTCTATATTCTTTTCTGGTGGTCAGGTACTCCTGTCCACTTTCAGCTGGTGTTTCTCCCCCTAGTTCCTTTGTCCTACCAAGTTTTGCGTGGTTCTCTATATTCTTTTCTGGTGGTCGGGTACTCCTGTCCACTTTCAGCTGGTGTTCTGCAAGCACTTCTGTGTCTGAAGGTGTATTCCTGATGCATCTGTGGAGAGAGATGTACTCCACATCCACCTACTCCTCTGCCATCTTGTTCCCTATTGTGTTTTCTTTTCCTTTACATTTATGTATTTTATCACATATATTTTTGGCTAGGTTTTTCTCTATTTTTAACCTTTATTCCTGAGTAATTCATGTCAGTTTGTGTTGTGGTTTTTCTTATTACATTTTCAAGTTGGTTACTGTTGATGTATCAAAGAGCTATTGCTTATTGATTTTGTTAAAAAAAAAATTGCTGCCTTGTAGATATATCTTTTTGATTCTTATGTTATGCCAGCTGTTTCTCTTAGGATTTTTAGTCAGAAAATCAGATGTTTTTAGATAATGAGAGTAGTTTTTCCTCCTTGCTTAGTGTTTACCACTGGTATTTTGCTTCGTTCCCACTGTTCCAGGCCTTCTGGGACAGTGCTGACTAGTAGAGTTGATACGAAGATTTCAACTTGTTTCTGAAGAACGATTTTAAATTGTTCATGATTTTAGAGGGAACAGATCTAATGTTTCACATAAAGTATGATATTTTTTATAGGCTTAGGGAAATTACTTTTACCTGTAACAAACTGAATTCTGATTTTTGAAAGTGTTAAATTTCATCATAGTACTTTGTTTCATCTATAGAGATGATTGTTCTCCATTAATGTACTAATGTTACTTCTTTGTTACAGTTTTGTTTTTTAAAAGTTTGAACTGTCCTTTAATTTTTTTAGATCCATTTCCTTCATAGATTATTGTTTATGCATGTATAGGATTCATTTTAATGTTTTTATCTAAATATTCATTAGTATTTTTATCTAGGTTTTTAAAAAATATTCATTTTACTTATTTGACTGCACTGGCACTCAGGCAGTGTTATGTGTGGTAACCGTTCTCTGAAGCCCTGCACCACTGGGATCTAGTTCCCTGAACAGGAGTCGAACCAAGGCCCCCTGCATTGGGAGTGCAGTCGTAACCACTAGATCACCAGGGAGGTCCCTGCTAGGTTTTGAATTTTTTTTAGGATTTATTTTTTCATTTATTTTTGGCTGTGATAGGTCTTCATGGCTGCTCTTGGGCTTTCTCTAGTTGCAGCAATTGGAGGCTATTCTCTAATTGCAGTGCTTGGACTTCTCACTGAGGTGGCTTCTCTTGTTGCAGAACACAGGCTCTAGGGTATGGGTTTGGTAGTTATTGCCCTGTAGCATGTCAGTCTTCCCAGACCAGGGATCAAACTTGTGTCCCCTACTTTGGCAGGGAGAGTCTTAACCAGTGGTCGCCTAGAGTAGCCCTAGGTATTTTTAACGAATGAAATTGTGCAAGTTGTGCTGTCTTGCCTTCTCTGTGAGATTATACAAGTTTGTATGATGAGTTTCCCATCATTTCCTGGCTCTACATCTAATTGAAGAAATTTTCCGTTTCTCGGATATTGATAAAACTTACTTTTATAGATAGTGTGGGGCTGTTTACTTTATGGAGAGGGTATACCTCTCATTACTATTTTATGATCATGGACTAATCAATCTTGTCTTCCTAATCCTTTCTGGGAAAATTTTGGCTACTTTCATTTTCCTAGGAAAGTTTCTATTTCTTCTAAGTTTTCATATTTATTGGAACAAATGTGTAAATACAATTCTGCTGTCATGTTTGCTTTAAAAATGTAAATTTGTTTCAATATGTTAGGGAATGCTGTGAGCTTTCTGATTTCAGGCAAGCCTCTTTTCACCATTTTATAATAAACTAGAGTGCTTCTGACACAAACATTGGGTCTTTTATAAGGTACAGTGCCATATTTATGGCGGTATTTATATATTTCTTAACCATTAAGCATGTATAAAACTCTACTGTTTTTATTAAGATTTTTTATTTTCTTTTTTTCATGTGTGTTGATAAAGGTGTTACACCCCAGCCCTGTTCTTCCTATAAGCCTGAGACTTTTCATAGTGGTGATTTTTTTTTTTTTTGTAAATCCATATCACATTACAGCAGAACTGCCTGTGTATAGTGATCACTTACAGATTTTAAGATTGCTTCTCTATCATAGAGTTATGCACCCTGTCTTGGTCGTAATAGTTTTCTTTTCCTCATTTCTTGATTATGCTCGTCCAATTAAAAAACTTTAATAGTTCTTTTATATTTTATTTTTATTCTTATCAAGCTTAAAAATAGTAAAAGGCTTAAAATAGGGCTCCTGGTTGACTGCCCACCCCCTACAGCCCTAACATAGATGTTTGTTTCCCTCTACAAAACTAAAACCTTCTTGAGGCCAAATGGGTTTCACTCATCCTGAAATCTTCAGAACCCAAAACAATGTGTGGCACATGGAGGCTCAATTATTAGTAATGTTTTTAATTCTCTCTCAAAAGAAGTGGTGGCCTGGGCACAGGAGGCAGACTGTGGAGGATATTCTCCTTTCCTGGGTCCTCTACATCTTCTCCGTGTCTCCAACTGTAATTGCAGCATATTGAGTAATGTGTGTGTTGTTACAGGGGTTGTTGTCATTCACGGATATATCTATGCAGTTCAGCTGGGAAGAGTGGCAGCTGCTGGATTCTGTGCAGAAACACCTGTACCGGGATGTGACTCTGGAAAACTATAGTAACCTGGTGGCTATAGGTAAGTACAGCTTAGTGAGCCTGTACGAGCCCAGATCCTGAGTCATAAGTCACCATTGCCTTTTCTTTTGTTTATCTACCCTGAAGCCTCTGGAGATCACATGTTCTTAGCCCCTGCTTAATCCTCAGCTCCTCACTGTCATCTTCCCCAAGTGCAAACAAGCTGCTTCCTTTCCTCCCTCCTGACCTCTTCCTTAGTCCCCAGCAGTCTGACTACATCCTCTGTGACTTTTCCTTAACAGGGTATCATGGTAACAAACCTGATTTAATCTTCAAGTTGGAGCAAGGAGAAGAGCCATGGATCATAAACTCGAAAGTTTCCCATCAGAGCTGCCCAGGTGGGTGAGCAGATACCATGAAGCTGGGAGGTAGGGAGTAAACTGGGTTGGCATTCAGGCAGTTTCATGTGTGGGAACTGTTCTCTAACCCCTTGCACCATTGGAGCAGCTTGGGATGAGCCTAAGAGTCCTCAAGTGAGGGCTCTCACTTTCCTCCCATGACTGCAAGAGGCTGGTGGGCCATTCTCTGCACACTGCTCAAAGGTTGCTTTCTGGGTTAGTTTCCTTCCCTTGAACACATTCCTTACTGTGGTCACGGGCCTTATTTTCCCTTTTGCTTCTGCAGTTAATTCCCTCAACTTTACCTGCAGTCTTTTCCTTCTCTCCTCTTGACCGTCTTAGGAAGTTTCATTGCTTCCTTCACTCTTCTCAACTAGTCATTTGGAAACTACAACTGCTACCTTCTTGGGCACTTTTCTTTCTTTTTTTTTTTTTTTTGCCATACTTCATGGCTTGCAGGATTTTAGTTCCTCAACCAGGGATAGAACCCATGCCCCCTGCAGTGGAAACAGGGAGTCTTAAGCCCCAGGCACTGAGAAAGTCCCTTGGGCACTTTTCTGAAAAGAATTCTGTAACCTAGCGTAAGTGGTTTTTATCACCTTACATTTGTTTCCCTGACTCCTCTTTCCCTTCCCTTTTAAGTTGTCCAAGTTTGGGCTTCTAGTCTATATTGTAACTCTGGAAGACCTCTTCCATCCTGAAAATTGAAACTTTTTCCTCCCAGTGTTGTAACAGCAGAGCCACCAACCTCCCCCTGCCCCCTTCTTCCTGCACTCTGGTCCCAGCTTTATATGCTTCAGGACAGAGGTCTTGGTCTCCCACTCTGCTTTCTTAGTGGCAGAAATTGGAAGACCCTTCCGAAATTGCTCTTCCTCTTCAGTTTTCCCACCAGTTTCTTCTTTGGGGAATAAAATGTTTTTAGCAAGCAGTTCTGAGGAAGCAGGACAGCAGCTGAGGTCCCCAGTACAGCAGTCATGTCCTAGGGTGACTGAGGCTTGTGTCTGATGCGTGCTGTTGAGACCTTGCCCTGCTGTTGCTGCTTTCCTTTAACCTTGCCTTTCTATCACTCTCATCATCACAGTGTTCAGGCCTCACAGATGGACTTTCCCTTTCTCTCTACATCTCTTGTCCGACCTGAAATGTGGCCTTCTCCAGGGCTGTTTTGGCATCCCTTTTAATTTGCACATGTGCCCTAGAAGACCTCATCCCTCATGTCATTCAATACCTTGTATGTGCTGTTGATTCCTGCTTTTTACTGAGCACTGAATTTAGGTGTAACTGTTTACCTGTTTCTCTGTTTGAATATTTAATGAAGATCTCCAGTATAATAAGATCCAAAACAAAATCCTTTGTCTTTCTCCAAACATGTCTCTCTCCCAGTGTTTTCAGTCTCAAAGAGCAGTACCTCCTGCTTCTCAAGTCTCAAATCTAGGAGTTTCTCTTGCTTCTGTCTAAAATGTTTTTGCCTTAATTTTCTTATGGCTCAATCCCTGTTTTAATATCTCATTGTACCATCCTAAACGTTGTACATTTTTACGTGCCTGTTAATTCACCTTTTTAGTAAACTCCTGAAATTATAAAATTGGCATAAATAGTTGACAATTGCTTCTATTAATAAGTGCAGGCTAAATTTCTTAAACTTCTATTTAAAAAACACTTCTGATTACTGCTAACCAGCTACCCATTTCTGTAGAGGGATTTATTTTGGTTTGATTCACTTCCCTTTGCCCCTTCACTTGGTTATGTGGTGTGTGTGCACTTGGCCAGTATTTCTTTTGAACCAGTGTCAGAGGCCTGGACCAGAAGAAAAAGACTCATTACATAGCAGTTCTAAAGCACTTTAATTCTATATCAGGTTTATTTATGATTTTTAAATTACAGTGTGTTTTTTTTTCTTAGATGGTTGGGAAGAATGGTACCAGAAAAATCATGATGAACTTGAAAGTGTAGAGAAAAGCTATGCTTGTAATGCATTTGGAAAACTTCATCTGAGCAAAAGCCACATTTCTTCAAGACAAAGATTCCTTAAATATAACACACATGGAAGAAGTTTGACACAAAATTTAACTTCAGCCACAAGCTGCCTAAGAAAGAATGCTGATCAGTTTCATGGGTATGAGGAATCATATTTTATTAATCATCAAAGAACTCATAGTATAGAAAAAAACTGTATATGTAATGAATGTGGGAAAGCGTTTCGTTGTAAATCACAGCTCATTGTACATCTCAGAATTCATACAGGAGAGAGACCATACGAGTGTACTAAATGTGAAAGAGCCTTCAGTGCCAAGTCAAACCTCAATGCTCATCAGAGAGTCCATACAGGAGAAAAGCCCTACTCCTGTATCGAGTGTGGGAAAGTCTTTTCTTTCAGGTCACAACTCATTGTCCACCAGGAAATTCACACAGGAGGGAAACCTTATGGTTGCAGTGAATGCGGTAAAGCCTACAGCTGGAAATCACAATTGATTTTACACCAGAGAAGCCATACAGGAGTGAAACCATATGAATGCAGTGAATGTGGGAAAGCCTTTAGTTTGAAGTCACCATTCATTGTGCACCAGAGAACTCATACAGGAGTGAAACCCCATAAATGTAGTGAATGTGGGAAAGCCTTTAGGAGTAAGTCATACCTCCTTGTTCACATTAGGATGCACACAGGAGAAAAACCCTATCAATGCAGTGACTGTGGCAAAGCCTTCAATATGAAGACACAACTTGTTGTGCATCAGGGAATTCATACAGGAAATAATCCTTATCAATGCAGTGAATGTGGGAAAGCCTTTGGTAGGAAGGAACAGCTCACTGCACATCTGAGAGCGCATGCGGGAGAGAAACCTTATGGATGCAGTGAGTGCGGGAAGGCTTTCAGCAGCAAGTCATACCTTGTTATACACAGGAGAACACACACAGGAGAAAGACCCTATGAATGTAGTTTTTGTGAAAGAGCCTTTTGTGGGAAGTCACAGCTAATTATACATCAAAGAACTCACTCAACAGAGAAGCCCTATGAATGCAGCGAATGTGAAAAAGCCTATCCCAGGAAGGCATCACTTCAGATACACCAGAAAACTCATTCAGGAGAAAAGCCGTTTAAATGCAGTGAGTGTGGGAAAGCATTCACTCAGAAGTCATCTCTCAGTGAACATCAAAGAGTTCATACAGGAGAGAAACCATGGAAATGCTCTGAGTGTGGGAAATCCTTCTGTTGGAATTCAGGGCTTCGTATACATCGAAAAACTCACAAGTGAGAAATCAGAACAGAGTAGATGTTGGAGGATGCATTCTCACAGAAGTTGATCCTCAGGAGACTTCAGATGATAATGGAAGCAGGATATATAAGCAGGAATACCTAAAAATACATTCTAATCAAATTATTCATGTGGGAGGGGAACCAATTATATTTGGAATGAATATGCAAAAACTTTCAGAAGTAAGTCATGCAGATCTTTATATGCAAGAGAATGGTTGAAGGAGTAAAGAGCAGTAATGGTATAAACAGTAGCATAATTAGGAAGATTTAATTTGGGGAATGCATATTAAGTCCATATGAATTTAATAAATCAGGAAAGCAGTTTCCCATAGAAAATGTGTTACATGGGGAGTCATGTTCCAAATTTGATGCAGTTTTGGAGTGAGGAAAGTCCTTCTTGGTGGAGGATAAAGTAGTTGGGTTTTGTTTGTTTGTTTTTAGTATGTAACTAATGGGAAAATAGCAAAGAACATATTCTGAAGGTTCAAGGGCATGGAGTGTGACTTTCCTGAGCAACACTGCATAGCAGTTTTTAAAATTTTGGTATTTTATTTTTAAATGTAACTTGTTATATTTGATAATTTGTGGAATAACATCCTCCAATATTCTCCATATTAAATGCTAAGTATCAGTATTGTCTCTTTATTTCTTAGCAATATAACTAAAATAATGTGACTTTCAATAAATGAAAGGATTTGTTCTTACTCCAAATGAGTTTACTTATTCAGTAAATGGGTCTGTCAGTTATTACAGCACTCCTTTCCAAGAGTGCTCATGGTAATGAAGGTTGATTGTATTTAGTAATTCAGTGTCTGCTCCCCATTGATTGATAAGAGTGGCTTAGAATTCGCTGGAGAAATACCCCTCCTATGTTGTGCATATCCTTGTGGTGTGTCTCTCAGGGTGTCCTTCCCACCAGCCATAGGTGGGCATTCTGTCATGGTTGAGTCATGGTAACCTCTTTTCCAGGAGTTTGAGTCTCTAATTCAGTCTCACATGAACCAGAAGGGAAATAATCAGAATTCATTCTTGTCCCACAGTTTTACTAAGACCATCAATTAGTTCCTGCTATTTCAATTTCTCAGAATAACTTTGGATATTATGAACCTGGTTTTCTGGTGTTCTCTGTGCTGCCTCATATTTGCAATAAAAATATTATTTTCTGCTAATGTTAAGAAGAATGAGTTCTTTTTCTTGTAACTGAAGGGCTTTAATTGGTAAGTTGTTTTGCTGAAGTAAACTGTTAGTAAACTGTTGGATAGAAAACTGTTAAAGAAAAATGGGGTGTATGGTTTAGGTTTATTCCTAAGACAAGAAGAAAATCTTTCAGATTCCTGCTTATATTCCAAAGTGGATACTTTTTAGCTGATAGTATGAAATAGTGTTCTTACTTATGTACATCAAGAACCTTGTGGACCCTATTGGTAAGACTCTGGCAAAACTCAGGAGCTATTGTCCTAGAAAGTTTTAAACTTAAGAAGAAATCTGGAACATCAGATGAAATGGCTAGTTCTGGTTCCGTCAGCTCTTAAACACAAGGCCAGACTTGAAGGCCTGAATCTCATCTCAGGGAAGTGTTGTCAGCAGCTCTCTGACATTGTGGAAATAATTGCTTACTCAAGAGTTGTAGGGTTGAGATGGTGGAAATCAAAGACACAGTTGCTGAAGTACAGATCATCTACCTTAAGTGTGCACCAATCCCTTACGTAAACATGTTAGAAAAAGTGTCTCTTGATCATTTGAGTAGAGAGATTTGTGAAGAATCTGAGGACTCAACCTAGCAAACTCATGATACACTTTATATGCTTGTCACTCAGGGATACAGCCTAGATGTTTGCAAACTGCAGACCACAGGCCAAATACAGATTGTTGATACTTTCATGGATGGCAAGCAAAGAAGCTTTAACATTTTTTTTTTCATTTATTTTTATTAGTTGGAGGCTAATTACTTTACATCATTGTAGTGGTTTTTGTCATACATTGAAATGAATTAGCCATGGATTTATATGTATTCCCCATCCCGGTCCCCCCTCCCACCTCCCTCTCCACCCAATCCCTCTGGGTCTTCCCAGTGCACCAGGCCCGAGCACTTGTCTCATAACATTTTTAAATGGTTTTAAAAAGCTCCAAACTACTTTATGAAGTGACAAAATTATTTGAAATTAAAATTTCAGTGTCCATCAATCGAGTTTCATTGGGACACAGCCAGCAATAATCTGGCTGTGCGTTGCTTATACACTACAGTGGCAGAGTTGAGTGGTTGTGGCAAACACAGTATTGCCCCCAGAACCTGCTAACTCCTGATGTAGATGCCCTTCCTTCCCAGAAAAAGTGGACCATGCCTTGTAGGAGGAAGCTTATTCTTCCAGTACCCCATGCCTCAGTTACCAGCTATGTCCAAATGTACTCTTTTTTATGAAGACATTGATCATATTGACTTAGGTCTCATTCTATTGATCTAATTTTAATCTAATTATCTCTGTAGAGGCCCTGTCTCTAATGCACATTCTGAGATACTGGGGTTTAGGAATTCAACGTATTTTTGACAGGATGCAATTCAATCCATAACAGTCTTCCCTCCTTCCCCCCAACCCCACCAAATTCATGTCCTTCTACGTGCAAAGTGCATTCATCCCTGCCCAACATTCCCCCTGACCCAAATCTTAATCTACTCCAGCATCAACTCTAAATCCAGAATCTCATCTAAATCAGATATGGGTGAAATCTCGGATATGATTCATCCTGGGGCAATATTCCTCTCCATTTGTGAACCTATGAAACCAAAAAAAGTTATCTGCTACGAAAATACAATAATCAGATAGGCATGGGATAGACATTCCCATTCCAAAAGGAAGAAAGGATAAGGGGTATTATGAGTCCCAATCAAGTACCAAAACTAGCAGGGTAAATTCCATTAGACATTAAGGTTTGAGAATAATCCTCTGTGGCTAAATGCTCTGTCCTCTAAGTCCAGTAGGATGGTGGCCCTGCCTCTTCAATCCTGAATAGTGGGGCAGCTCTCTAGAATTGAAAAGGAGGCTTCACCCTCTGGAACCCCTCAGTCCGTGTCCACAGCTAGATAGCTCTATCAACCTGTTTTGTGCCTGTAGAATCTCAGGAGTTTGGCAAAGTTCCTTCATTTTAACCTTTCTCTGTTCCCTTGAGTCCAAGTTGGTAGCATTTCAGCCGAAATGATTGATTAGATTCATAAGTCATATACCCATAATCTCTTGAGCAAAGACTGTCTGGCCAGATGCTTGGTGTTCTCTCCGGAGCTAGCTTTCTTGCTTTTGCAATATGAGTAAGTGGAGAGTCTTCCAAACCTTTGCAATCTAGTTCCTTTATGCTTAACAATACAGTCTCAGTTTATCTTTGTCCTCATATTTTAGTATCAGCATCAAGGAAAAATTAAGTCATGTCTTCAACACCTAGATTAGAAATCTCTACAGCTAAATATCCCAATTTATCACTCACAAGTTCTGTCCTCTGGTAAACGCTGGAACACATGCCAGTCAAGTTATCTGCCACTTTTCTCCGATTTCCAATAACATGTCCTTCATTTTTATCTGACACCTCACCAGTAGTACCTTAACATTCTCATATTACTACCAGTAATGCCTTCAAAGCAATCTGGGCTTTTTCTATGAAGTACCTCAAAACTTCCATCAGTTACCAATTCCAAAGCCACTTCCAAATTTTTACATATTTGTTAAAGCAGCACCCTATTCTCCAGCCAAAATCTTTATACATTTGCTAGACTGCTATAACAAGGTACTGCAAAACAAGTGGTTTAAGCAACAAAAATTTATTTTTCATATATTTCATAGTTCTGGGGGCCAGAAATCTGAAGTCAAGTTGCCAACAGAGTTGGCATATTCTGAGGGAAGAATCCGTTCCAGGCCTCTCTTTGACTTCTAGATATTGATCTTCTCCCTTTGTCTCTCCACACCATTTTCTCCTATGTGTGTCTAATTTGTGTTCAAATTTTTTCTCTTTATAAGGATACCAGTCATATTAGAGAAGGAAATGGCAACGCACTCCAGATCCCGCCTGGAAAATTCCATGAACAGAGGAGCCTGGTGGGCTACAGCCCATGGGGTTGCAGAGTTGGACACAACTGAACAAAAACACACACATACATGCACCAGTCTTATTGGTTTAGAGCCCACCCTAATGACCATTTGAACTTGATTATCTCTATAAAGACCCTATCTCTAAAGTCACATTCTGAGGTGGGGGGTGAGGACTCCAACATATCTCTTTTGTGGGGAAATAACTGAACTTGTAACACTTGACAAGGAAACAGGCAACTTGAACAATACTCTAAACCAGCTGGACCTAACAGACATGTGAGCCACTCTGCTCCACCGCAGCAGAATGCATACTCTCCAAGCACTGTGGAATATTGTGCAGCACAGATTACACATTAGGCCACGGAACAAGCCCCAAAGGATACCACAAACAGCTCTAAGGCTTTAGTCAAAACTGGGACCAAATAATGATAACAGGTTACAACTCAAAGAATAAAGTAAGAATTCATATATCTGTTCCAGTTCAGTCACTCAGTCATGTCCAACTCTTTGCGATCCCATGAACCGCAGCATGCCAGGCCTCCCTGTCCATCACCAACTCCCAGAGTCTACCCTGACCCATGTCCATTGAGTTGGTGATGCCATCCAACCATCTCATCCTCTGTCATCCCCTTCTCCTCCTACCCTCAGTCTTTCCCAGCATCAAGGTCTTTTCAAATGAGTCAGCTCTTTGCATCAGGTGGCCAAAATAATGGAGTTTCGGCTTCAACATCAGTCCTTCCGATGAACACTCAGGACTGATCTCCTTTAGGATGGACTGGTTGGATCTCCTTGCAGTCCAAGGGGCTCTCAAGAGTCTTCTTCAACACCACAGTTCAAAAGCATCAATTCTTCGGTGTTCAGCTTTCTTTATAGTCCAACTCTCACATCCATACATGACCACTGGAAAAACTTTAGCCTTGACTAGATGGACCTTTGTTGACAAAGTATGTTTCTGTTTTGTAATATGCTATCTAGGTGTGTCATTACTTTCCCTCCAAGGAGTAATTGTCTTTTAATTTCATGGCTGCAATCACCATCTGCAGTGATTTTGGAGCCCAAGAAAATAGTCAGCCACTTTCCCCATCTATATGCCATGAAGTGATGGGACCAGATGCCATGATATTAGTTTTCTGAATGTTGAGCTTTAAGCCAACTTTTTCACTCTCTTTCACTTACATCAAGAGGCTCTCTAGTTCTTCTTCACTTTCTATCATAAGGGTGGTGTTAGCTGTATATCTATCATAAGGGTGGTGTTATTGATATTTCTCCTGGCAATCTTGATTCCAGCTTGTGCTTCCTCCAGCCCAGCGTTTCTCATGATGTACTCTGCATCTGTATTGATATATAATTGTATATGTATAAACAACTAGGAAAGAAGGGAAAACTTTTTTTTAAAGTTGAGTATCAATACATACAAAAGGAAATGACATGTTAGAAACTCATGTTAGAAACTCACAGCTTGGTAGCCAGCACAGTGATTCTTTAAGGCAAGAGTCATCCATGAATGTTAAAACTAGGTGACAGACAGTTTCATTAGTTTCAGAACATCTTTATACAAAATGCTTACTGCTTATATTTGGAAAACAAGAAATCTGGCATTTACCACCTTAATTAAACAAAGCTAATATTGCAACTTTTGGTACAATCAAATATCAGGGAACTGGTTGCTGTGATTCTCAGAGGAGGGCACAACAGCATTTATACAGTATTCCAGCCCAAAATACATAACCTCAATCTAAATTATGAGGAAATATCTAGCAAACACTAAGTTTTGGCCATCTACCATGACAATGACATGCAATTTTTTAAATATTGAGGATGTAAAAGACAGCAACTGAAAGGCTTCTCCAGTTTAAACAGTTAAAGGTGCTGCACACTGAACCCACATTGTTTCTTGGACAACTGATGGAATCTGGATAAGTTTTGTATGTTAGATAATAGTACTGTGTTTGCATTAATTTCCTCAATTTTATAATTTTCCTGTCATTAGATAATAGAACGACCTTGTTGAAGACACTCACTGAAGCTTTGGGAAGTGTAGAGGACTCACACCTACAACTCATGCTAGTATCATTCAAGAAAAATATGTTCTTTTATAGAGAAAGCTGGAGAAGGACATGGCAACCCACTCCAGTATTCTTGCCTGGAGAGTACTATGGCCAGAGGAACCTGGTGGGCTGCTCTCCATGGGGTTGCACAGAGTTGGTCACGACTGAAGCAACTTAGCATGCATGCGTGCATAGAGAAAGCAGATGCGGCCAAATGTAAATACTGGGTAAATATGGATAAAAGGTATTTAGGAATTCTTTACAATTTTTTAAAGTCTGTGTTTCTGTAGCATTTATTCAACTTTTTAATAGCATGAAATTATTTGTAAGTGATGCAGTTAGAATGAATTTAGCAAGGTCTTTGGATGTCACATCAGATTATCCAAGTCAATTCTGTTAATACTTCTACACACCACAAAACTTTTATAAAATAGGATTTAATAAAATGAATTCATTTCCAAAAGTATCAGAATACAAAATAAGTTTTGCAGTGTTGGAGCTGCTCTGTATCTTGACTGTAGTCATTAATACATAAACATTTCCTACTTCAGGGGATTTTCCCAACTCAGAGATCAAACCTGCATCTCCTGTGTCTTGCAGGTGGGTTCTTTATCACTCATGCCCCCTGTGAAGCCCTACATAAACACACAGGTGATAAAATAGAACTTAATACACACACAAATGAGTGTTAAGTAAAACTGGGGAAAACAGTTAAGTCTTGTGGATTGTATCACTGTCAACACTCTGGCTGTGATGTTATACTATAGTTTTGCAAAATGTTAACATTGGAGTAAACTGGGAAATTATATAAGAGCTCTCTGTGTTTTTTACAAAGCAGGTGAATTTGCAATTATCTCAAAATTTTCAATTAAAACAAAATAAAGATGTAAAAGAATGAATAAATTATGATGTACAGTCAGTGGAATAGTCAATGAGATATTATATAACTATGAAATAAACTACAATTGAGTAAACAATATGTTTATGTCCTAGATATACAGTATTGAGAAAAGTAATTCTCAGATGGCTGTGTATAACATAACACCATAGTTAAAGGCCAATATAGTGAAGTGGAATTATATATTACTTAGACACATATATGTAAGTGATAAGACGATGAAATAAAAAGCAAGATAATGATAACCAAAATATTTAGGATAGTGTCTGCCTCTGTGAGGAAGAGGTGAGTTGGAAAGGAGGAACAGCAAACAAAGATTCCAAATATTAGTAATTTTTAATTTTCTGTTTCTCAGATAGATTCATGAACATTCATGAGAAGGTACTTTTAACTAATATTAGATAAAAAGGGACATAAATACAGGTAATTTAGACTTTGAAAAATAATAGGGAAATACTAAGGATAACCACAGGCCACTAAATATGAAAATTTAGATTAAATTTTTCATCAAGCCTAGATTATTGAGCAGTAAACTGTTACCAAACATTGAAAGACTTGATCACCATTATGTTATACAAACAGTACTAGAAATTTTTTAAAGGATAGATTACTCTCAAATTCATCTTACAATCCTCTATAACCTTCATACCAAAAGACAGACAAATAGAAAATTGTGTCTCTTGGATAGACACAGTAGAAAAAAATTAGAGGACAACCTAATAGATGAAAAACTTCTGAATAAAATGGAATCTGGGTTTCTTTCCCCACATGTTTGTACATGTCTATATTAGGTTGAACTATATGAAATTACCAAAAATGAACTGTTTTTGACATATGTGGCAAATTTTATTTTCCAAAGTTGACTGTAACAATATGTCCCATCTTGCATCTTCTTCTACAGTGTGATTGTGCCAGTCCTCCCACTGAGAGTCTTGCTGGCTGGTGATTAGTCTGTAACTAAAAGAATGTGGAGAAAGTCCTTCTGCTTTCCTCACTGGAACACGTGTTCTTGAAGCTTCTGTGGCCCTGTGAGCAGCTGATCAGGAGAAACCTCAGAGAATCCCGGGAGGGAGACTGGGCTCAGGCTCCATGGAGAGGAAAAGATGCTTGTTCAGCCCGCACATTCCAGCTCCAGCCACGTAAGGACAGCAAATGCATGAGGAAGCCAGACCCACAGAAACCACAAGAGATGTAACACCTTTGTTCTTATCTATGCTACAGTTTGAGGTGATACTTTAGGCAGCAGTACTGACTGGAATAGAAATTTGGTCTTTGAAGTGGGATACTACTGAAACAAAATCTTAAAACATCTGCCACTGACTTTGGCTCTGGGTGGTGAGAAGAATGTGGCAGACTTCTGAGGCAAATATTAGTGAAAGACTGAAGGGCCCTTTGGAAGGGTGTTAGAAGAGCCTGAAGATCCTCAAGGAGGTTGTCGGTGGAGGCTTAAAGGGATATGAGGTAGAGAAGGAAATGGCAACCCACTCCAGTATTCTTGCCTGGAAAAGTCCATGGACAGAGGAGACTGGTGGGCTGCAGTCCATGTGGTTACATGACTGAGTATGCATGCATGAAGGTGGAGGGAGATGGGTTGGTAGCAATAAACTGGTAGAACTAAAAAAAAAGGTGGGGGGGATATGAGGAAAGTATAATGGGAACATGGGGAAAAGGGTGTTTTGTTATAAGCGGCAGAAAGTTTCTCAGCACTGTCACCTAATGGACGCAGAAAATAGAAACGCATCTAATTGGAACCAAGCAGGACCCTATGGGGCCTTCCCAAAACAGACCACCACTCCCACCCATGTCCTCTGCCTGCCTCTTATCTGTACAAAAGCTTTAGCCTCTTAGTGTATGTGTGTGTGTTAGTCGCTCAGTTGTGTCTAACTCCTTGCAGCCCCATGGACTGTAGCCTTCCAGGCTCCTCTGTCCATGGGATTCTCCAGGCAAGAATACTGGAGTGGGTTGCCAATTCCTTCTCCAAGGGATCTTCCCAACCCAGGGACTGAACCTGGCTCTCTTACATTGCAGATCGATTCTTTACCGTGTGAGCCACAAGGTAAGCCCCTTAGCCTCCTACGGGCTTCCCCAAGTTCCAAGGGACAAATTTAGTCAGAGAAGTAAGAAAATGCAGAAATAAAGGAAAACAGTCAAGCAAGACAAAGTAATAATAGTTTAGCTGCTAAATTCAAAGATCTTTAGTTCCTCTTCAGGGGCTTCCCTTGTAGCTCAGACAGTAAAGAATCTGCCTGTGATGCTGGAGACCCAGGTTCAGTCCCTGGGTCAGGAAGATCCCTTGGAGAAGGAAATGCCAATCCACTCCAATACTCTTGCCTAGAGAATTCCGTGGACAGAAGAGCCCAGCAGGCTACAGCCCATGGGGTCACCAAGAGTCAGAAGCGACTGAGCAACTACACTTCCTTCTTTCAGGGGCTATAGATAATGTTCTGAGCTATATCCTTTGAAATGTTTTGCAGATACTGAAACCTGCAGCAGATGGAAAAGTTAAGTATATGCTGAACACCAGCATGCAGGCCCCAGACAGATTGCAACCAGAAGATTGATGATGTTGACCTCCAGTTACCTCACCACCAACCAATCAGAAGAATGTCCACAGGCTGATCACACACCCTATAGCCCCCCTCCTTCACCCTGTCTTTAAAAACTTTCCCTGAAAGCCATCAAGCATTAGCAACCATGCACCTTGCCTGGTCCCACACTGGGCACCTGCTATAAATACTGCACTTCCCTTCACCACAACCTGGTGTCAGTAGATTGGTTTTGCTGGGTGGGGGCAAGTGGACCCAAGTTTGGTTCAATAACATAGTGACCTCTAATGGCAGAGCTGAATTTTCTAGATACAGGGTTACTGTGCTACCTGCCTTATTCTCATGCTACTTCCCTGGTGCCTCAGACAGTAAAGAATGCTGTCTGCAATGCAGGTAGACCTGGGTTCGATCCCTGGGTCAGGAAGATCCCCTGGAGATGGTCCAGTATTCTTGCCTGAAGAATTCCACAGAGGAGCTTGGCAGGCTACAGTCCACAGGGCCACAAAGAGTCAGACACGACTGAGTGACTAAATACTTTCACTTTTTATAATAATATGAGAGAGGAGAAAGGAACTGAACAATGAACCACTCCATGAGGAATTATCAGTGGCCCAGTACAGTCTTTCCATCCAGGAAAGCATTCTCAAAGCAAGAAAGGTCCTCAGGGACCAAAAGATCCTTAGGGAAGATTTCAGGAAAATCTCAGAGGGTACCTCATGTAACCCTTAAAAGGGAAAAGAAGGATCTTACAAGAAAGCCTTTGTGAAACCTCTCATAAAACAGACCTTCCATGACAAAGAAAAGGATAACAAAGACTTATCCCTAAGACAAAGTCTTATCCCTAAAAAATATTTGAGGATATGTGCATGCCTTCTCACTCAGTCATATCTGACTCTTTTGTGACCCAGTGGACTGTAGCCCATAAGTTTCCTCTGGAATTTCCTAGGCAAGAATACTGGAATGGGTGGCCATTTCCTTGTCCAGGGGATCTTCTCAACAGAGGCATCCAACCTGTGTCTCCTGCATTGGCAGGTGGATTCTTTTCCGGTGAGCCACCTGGGAAGCCCTACAAATGTCAATACTTCTATAATTTTGTCCTGTGTTTTTCTTTCCACTCACACAAAGTTCCAATTTCACCATTTTTCTTTATTAGAACTCATTTTATCCCTTTAGTTAGCATACCTCCAACCTCAAGTAATGGAACCCCCATGGGCAGAGGAATCTGGTGGGCTACAGTCCATGGGGTCACAAAGAGTCAGATATGACTTAGCAACTAATCAACAGTGGCTAATTGTAGGGTTCCCAACAACAAGAGGAACAAGTGAAAGCTAATTGTAAACAGAAAGATACTATAAATACATACATACACACCACAAAGTTTTTAAAAAACAGCCATATTGGGGCTTCCCTGGTGACTCAGTGGTTAAAAATCAGCCTGCCAATGCAGGAGACACATGTTCTATCCCTGGTCTGGGAAGATTTCACATGCTGTGGAGGAACTAAGCCCTAGTGACACAAATATTGAGCCTGTGTCCTAGAGCCCAGGAGCCTCAATTAATGAAGTCCCCCTACCCTAGAGCCCATGTTCTGCAGCAAGAAAAGCCACTGCAATGAGAAGCCTGTGCACCACAACTAGAGTAGTCCCCACTCACCACAACTAAAGAAAAGCCCATGCAACAACAAAGACCCAGCACAGCCAAAACAATAGCTAACTAAATAAAAAAAAATTTTAATGAAATGTAAATAAAAATAGCCATATTAACTTTAATTGAAAAAGACAAACGCTGGACAAAATAAAAAGAGATCTTTGCGCTCCCAATCATTTTTGGACAGGAAGGAGGCTGAAAAAGATACTCAATAGCAAATATGGATCATGTTTTATGAATAAGGAAGGATGACTCAGCAGAACCAAGATCTAAGGTGCTGCTAAGGGGTATGGAGAACTCCACGTGAGCAGTGAACTGGTAACATGTACCTGGCATGATTTGGAATTTCTATGGATCAGTGGCTGCTCTATCCCCAGTAACTGCTGTATGAGGACTCCTGTTGTCCCCAGTTGTGTCTTACTATTGTATTTCAGGTGTGTAAGATGAAGATAACAGGTAGATTGATTGAGAGAAACAGCATGTAAGAGTTGTATCCAAGGGAGAAGTCCTGAAGAGCCTCACCCCAAGCAGGTCCTGATTTCTATAATGAGATTGATCAATCTGATGCCACAATGGAATGAGACATTTGAGGTCTTGGAGCAGAAGATAATTATAGCCTGCAGATATCAACGGTCAAAGCCAGGGGACTGTGGTAAGTTGTGTGTTCCTAAGATGACTACAAGAGCACCTCTTACACAGCACCCTCTTCCAGTGCCACAATGTGATTTTGTCACTTTTCCCATGGGGAGGAGAGGTCTGTGCCCCCTGCCTCTTGAATCCAGATGGGCTAATGATTTGTTCACAGACAGCAGATTGCAGCAGAAAAGACGCTGTGAGACTTACAAGCCCAGGTCATAAAAGGAGATGCAGTTTCCACCATGTTCACAGAAGCTCTTCCTGGTGAAGAATTTCAGCTGCCAGGTAAGCAGCCCAACTGCCCTGAGGCTGCTGTGCTGTTAAGAGGTTCAGGCAGCTCACACGAAGAGATGAACTAAAGAGGCCTGAGACTACTGGAAGAGTGAGAGATGCCTACAGCACCCCCAGTGTTACAGCACCTGCTGTTCCAGCTCCAGCTATCAACTGATGGCAACCACACAAGAGACCCCAAGACAAAATTGCCTGGCTAAGGTTATCTTGAATTTCTGACCTAGGAAACTGTGAGATATAATAAGCCACTAAATTGTGACATGATCTTTTATGTAGAAGAGTAACTGGACCAGTTAGAATCAGACATGGAAAAACTGATGCCAGTTTGGGAAAGGAATATGACAAGGCTGTATATTATCACCGTGATTATTTAACTTAGAGGCAGAGTACTCACTGGAGAAGGAAATGGCAACACAATCCAGTATTCTTGCCTGGAAAATCCCATGGACAGAGGAGTCTGGTAGGCTACAGTTCATGGGATCACAAAGAGTTGGACACAACTGAGCAACTGAGCACACATACATGCAGAGTACATCATGCAAAATGCTGGGCTGGATGAATCACAAGCTGGAATCAAGATTGCTGGAAGAAATATAGACAACCTCAGACGTGCAGATGATACCACTCTAATGTCAGAAAGTGAAGAGAAACTAAAGAGCCTCTTGATGAGGGTGAAAGAGGAGAGTAAAAAAGGTGACTTGAAACTCAACATTCAAAAAACTAAGATCATGGCATCTGGTCCCATCACTTCATAGCAAATAGATGGAGAAAAAGTGGAAGCAGTATCAGATTTTATTTTCTTGGGCTGCAAAATCACTGTGGATGGTGACAGGAGCCATGAAATTAAAAGACAGAGGAAAGCTATGACAAACCAAGACAGCATGTTAAAAAGCAAAGTATCACCTTGCTGACAAAGGTTCATTAGTTAAAGCTATGGTTTTCCCAGTTGTCATGTATGAATGTGAGAGTTGGACCATAAAGAAGGCTGACCACCGAAGAATTGATGCTTTCAAATTGTGGAACTGGAGAAGACTCCTGAGAGTCCCTTGGACTTCAGTGAGCTCAAACCAGTCAATCCTAAAGGAAATTAGTCCTGAATACTCATTGGAAGGACTGATGCTGAGTCTGAAGCTCCAATACTTTGGCCACCTGATGTGAAGAGCCAACACTCACTGGGGGAAAAAGCTCTAATGCTAGGAAAGATTGAAGTAAAAAAGAGAAGAGGGTGGCAGAGGATGACATTGTTGGATGGCATCACCAACTCAATGGACATGAATTTGAGCAAATCCCAAGAGATACTGGAGGACAGAGGAGCCTGGTGTGCTTCAATCCATGGGGTCACAAAGAGTTGGGCATAATTTAGTGACTGAACAACAACTGGACCAACACACTAAAAGACAGTTACATATTGTTCAACTTTATAAGTAAATAATATGTTCAAGATAATTTAATATTGAAGTTTATTAATGTATTCATCTTATTAATTTTAATGCAGAAATAGGTTATATAAAATACATATTTATTTACCTATATAGCTAAATAAAAATATTCAATATATTCTAGCCATTCTTCAGGATGAAGTCCTTAACAAACTCAAAATGGAAAGTAACTTCCTTTTAAGATAATAAAGGATATCTACAATCTTGTACTACAATTATACTGAATTCATTTATTTGTTCAAATAGTTTTCTCTTCAGAACAGCATGGTAGGGGGTACTTCCCTTGCTGTCCAGTGATTAAGACTCTGTTGCTCCCAATGCAAAGGGCACAGGTAAGATCCCACATGCTGCATAGTATTGCCAAAATAAACAGACAGAAAAAACAGCATGGGGGAGTGGGAGGATAGAAATAGGTGAGGGTAATTAAGAGGTACAAACTTCAAGTTACAAGATAAATCAGTCATGGGTATGAAATATACAGTGTGTAGTATATTATCAATAATTATGTAATATCCTGTATGGCAGCGGTAGCCAAAATTTCTGGCACCAGGGACTGGTTTCATGGAAGAACAATTTCTCCTCAGACCGAGATGCGGGGGTGGAGAATGGTTTTGGGATGATTCAAGTGTATTACATTTATTGTGCTAATGATAATCTGTATTTGCAGTTGCTTCCCAGCACTAACATCACTGCCTCAGCTTCACCTCAGATCATCTTTTGCAAGTGCAGTTCATAGTAGGGTTTGAGCTCCTACGAGAATCTAATGCTGCCATTGATTTGATAGGAGATGGACCTCAGGCAGTAATTCAAACAATGGGGAGCAGCTGTAAATAAAGATGAAGTTTTGCTTGTTTGCTGATGCTCACTACCTGTTGTGTAGCCCAGTTCCTAACAGACCACAGGCTGACACTGGTTTGTGGTCCGGTGGGTGGGGACCCAATGTTGTAAGGTAACAACAGACGGCAACAATACTTAACATGGTGATCATTTTGAAATGTATAAAAATGTTGAATTGAGATAGGCTGGCACCTGGGAGCATTTGCAAATGGACAAACATCTCCCTGAACAATGGAAAACAAAGAAACTATAAAGGACTAAAAATAACTGTACACATGTGCAATTGGGAAAAATTATGAAGAATAAGACATATAAAGGCCAAAAATAACTGCTAGTTCTGAGGTGCAGTGAGCAAAAGAAGGATACTGTGCATGATCCCTGAACAAAGTGGGTGGGTGGACCACCCTAAGCCACCCCTTTGGCCCAACCCACTGATCCACCCCTACCTTCACCCCATTTAAAGGACCAGCTTACCCTAATTCAGAAAGCAAGCAAGGGCATTTGTTTCTTGTTCTGCAGTGTGAGTCCCAATAAAGCCTTGTCTGAATTCCTTATCTGGCCACTTACCAATTTCTAGCCATTAAAGAGTCCAAGGACCCAAGTTGGTAACAGAATCATTATGTTGTGTAACAGGAAGTAACTTGCAATTATAAGACAAACAAGTACTAGGGATGCAATGTACAACATGATAAATATAATCAACACTGCTGTATGTTATATATAAAAGTTTTTAAGAGAGTAAACCTAAGAATTCTCATCACAATGAAAAATATTTTTTATTTCATTAAATTTGTATCTATATGAGGTGATGGATGTTCACTAAACTTATTGTCATAATCATTCTATGATGTATTTTAGTCAAATCATTATGCTATACACCATAACTATGTATTGTGAAAAAGTGAAAGTGTTAGTTGCTCAGTTGTGTCTGACTCTTTGTGATCCTATGGACTTTAGCCCACCAGTCTCCTCTGTCCATAGAATTCTCCAGACAAGAATACTGGAGTGGGTTATCATTTCCTTCTCCAGGAGACCTTTCTGACCCAGGGATGGAATCAAACCCTCATCTCCTGCATTGCAGGCAGATTCTTTACCCTCTGAGGCACCATGAAAGCCCAAGTGTATACTGTGCTGTATGTCAATTATATCTCAATAAAACTGGAGAAAACAAGGAGACTAAGACAGGATATGCACAGATGGAGGACTATGTGAGGACATGGGAAGAAGACAGCCAGCTGCAAGCCAAGCAGAGACCTTAGAAGAAACCAAACCTACAAAATCATGATATCCTGTCTCCAGAATTGCGACAAAATAAATTTCTGATGTTTATCCCACCCATCTGTGATATTTTGTTATGGTAGCCCTAGCAACTGAACAAACTTGAGATGAGGAAACTGGCTTCCCATGTGGAAACAAAATGAAATTGGAACAGTATCTCATACTATGTGCACACATACAACTCCAGACAGAATACAATTTAAATGTGAAAGCAAAACACTGAAACTATTAACAGATAATACATGGAAATCCTTTATGATATCAAAATGGAGAAAGATTTCTTAACAAAACACATAAGTAAACCACAAATGAAACTATAAAGGAAACACTAGATAAATTTTATGTCAAAAATAAAGCCTATGGGATCAACGATTTTATAAACAAAGTATAGCATATATTGACAGAAAAAATTAAAACATAAATTGCATATTGAGGATTAGTAAACAATATACATTCAGCTCCATGATCAGATAACACAACTGAAAAATGGCAAATATAATTGACAATTTATGGAATAAAAGCCCCAAGTGGTGTAAAAATGTGTATGCTTCAGCAGTGATTGTTGACACACATCCTTGTAAAATAGGGAAGAATAAATCTGACTCCATATTTGATCTGTTTCTTTTACTTTAATCTTTGTATTCTATTGCTTTTGCTAAAATAGTGTTGCCTATAGTCTAAAATTTACAGGATAACCCATTCTCAAGTCTCTGGTCTTTAAAGGTATAACAGTTTTCTATTCATACAGAGATTAAAAGTTGCAGAAGAATAACATTTCTCTTATTGGAGGTTTAAATGGACATTTGACCAGACCTACATGAACAGCTCTGAGAACAAAGGATTCCAACACTAAGAAGTTTGCAAAAACCAACCACTCCGCCTCTCCTTTCATTATAAAAGAAGCCTGAATTCTAACTCAGGTAAGATGGTTCTTATAAAACTCAATATTCAAAAAACTAAGATCATGGAATCTGGTCCCATCACTTCATGGCAAATAGAAGGGGGGAAAGTAGAACCAGTAACAGACTTTATTTTCTTGGACTCCAAATTCACTGTGGATGGTGACTTCAGCCATGAAATTAAAAGATACTTCCTCCTTCGAAGGAACGCTATAACAAACCTAGACAGCATATTAAAAAGCAAAGACATCACTTTGCTGCCAAAGGTCTGTTAGTCAAAGCTAGGGTTTTCCCAGTAGTCATGTACAGATGTGAGAGTTGGACCATGACTCTTTGGTTGAGCACCGAAGAATTGATGCTTTTGAATTGTGCTGCTGGAGAAGACTCTTGAGAGTCCCTTGAACTGCAAGGAGATCAAACCAGTCAATCCTAAAGGAAATCAACCCTGAATATTCATTGGAAGAACTGATGCTGAATCTGAGGCTTCAATAATTTGGTTACCTGATAAGAAGAGCTGACTCACTGGAAAAAAAAGAAAAAAAGAAAAAAAAACCCTGATGCTGGGAAAGACTGAAGGCAAAAGGAGAAGAGGGTGGCACAGGATGAGATGGTTAGATAGCATCACCGACTCAATGGACATGAGTTTGAGCAAACTCCAGGAGATAGTGAAGGATAGGGAAGCCTGGTGTGCTTTACAGTCCATGGGGGTCACAGAGTCAGACATTATTTAGCCACTAAACAACAACAACAGGATGGTTCTTTGGGACACTAGTCGACCATCTTCTCTGTCTGCTGACCTTCCAAATGAAGTCTCTATTCATTGCCCCAGCAACTCACCTCTGGATTTATTGCCTTGTCATGCAGCCGCCAGCATGAACTTGGACTCGCTTGTGTTCTGCATTTTAAGTATTAGTTTAGTCTTTATTTTTCCAGGAAGTGGGTGCTTTGTTTTGGCCATGCCACTCAGGCTTGTGGGATCTTGGTTAGTTCCCCCACCAGGGATCAAACCCCAGCTCCCTGCAGTGGAAGCAAGGAGTTCTAATCACTGAAGCACTGGGAAATTACCAGTATTAGCCTGGTTTTAAAAAAATCTGAATCCTGAGTATGGATCCCATGTTCCTAACTCCTACTGATACCTTTAAGCAGCATAGTAGTTTAATAGTTGAAATGGATATATTTTCATTCAGGCTAAATTAGGAAACAACTTTTTCTAACTTATATTTTAAAACCTAGAATGTATTTTTTCAGGTAAACATTTTTTCATCTCATCGAGGTAATATCAGTTTTTATCTTTATTTACTTATGTTAATATATACTCTGATCACCCTTATATTTCTAGAATAGAATACACTTGGTTTTCTAGTCTACGAAAATATTCCTATTTCTACAAAATATTAACAAAATATCCTACAAAAAATTATCTATTGATTAACTTCTCAGTATTTTTGCATGGGCAGCAATAATCAAGTTCTGTCTGTGCTTCCTTTTAAATCATAATTTGTCCATTTTGGTACCTTTATGCTATTAAGTAAATAGAAACTTTTCCTTCTTCTAATTCCTCTGAAACAATTTAAATATGAGTTCTCTGATCACTGGAAACGCAATGATGGCTACTTTTTGGCACAGATTCCCTGATATTGTCTTCATTTTTATTCACGTCCAGGTTTTCTCGTTTCTCGGATCAAATCTGACACATCTACTCCTTGAGAACCATAAAGAATTTAGAATTTATTAATACAGAGTGGATCCTCTCTCAATCTCTTTAAGTGTCTGTGGCTCTGCATTTTCTTTTTTCATCCTACCTGTCACTCTCTTTAAAAATATATATAGTGACTTAATTATAACCTACCTCACTGCACTTGAGTTATAGATTAACTGCGATTTTTTTGTGCTTTACTATCCGTTTTCCATAAATGCGTTAAAACTATTTTTCTGCTTTCTCCAACACCGACCCGCGTTCCAACGACGCCTGACGCTGCGTGTCCCAGGGCCTCCTGGGAAGTGTAGTTCGGCAGGCCTTTCCCCGCGCGCACGCGCAACCCTCTGCAGCCGGCTTGGCCCCTCTTTGTCCTTCGCCACTACGCGAGAGGCCACTGTGCGAGTGTCCGCGTGCTCGTGCGCGCGCTGTTCCCCGGCTAGGCTCCAGGCCGTCGGGATCTCGCGGATCCGCCCGGGTCGCGCAAAGCCCGGGGGCGGGGCGGTCACTTGGGTCCCGGTCCCCGTTCGGCGCGTCCGTGGTCCGAGGCGTTTTTTGCAGGTTCCGGGGCTGGATCCCTGTGGGGCGGGCGGCGGGGAATGAGAGGGTTCGCGGGGGCCGGGCTGGGGGTCGTGCCAGGGCTGCAGGTGGCGTCCGCGCTTCGGCCTGGGTCTCAGCGGCTGGGTTGCGGTGGGCACCGATGGGCTCCAGCGGTGGGGGGAGGCCCTTCCTCCGCCACGGCCAGTGCTCAGAGCGCTTTGACGTTTCCGTCCAGACCGGCTTGTACAGGTGGTGTCTCCCACGCGCGTGCCCGGCCGCCCGCGACCTTCGGGACGCATGGCCAGTCGTGGGGGCGCCCTGGGAGTGTACGCGGGGCGACCCGATTGTTCGCCTCCATCCAGGCTCCACCCAACTTGCCTCTGCTTTTATCATTAGGATTTTTAACGAGGCGTCTCTACTAACAAAAAACCCAAACAACTTTGACAGTTGCTAATGCGGTGAGGACAGCGTTGGCCTCAAGCCTTGTCTCTGACTTTGACCCACAACTGCCAGTTGAAACAGTCAACTCCCAATTTCTGGGTCTCAGGCTTTTCATCTGAAAACGAGGGAGTGGCAAGAAATTACCTTTTCTTCTCTAGCTTGGAAGCTTTCTGCAATCATTAAAACACATTATTTTATTGATTACTTAGTGATTCCTTACTGTTTCAACCACATGGTGCTGGACTGAAACTGCTTTGCTTGCTTGTTTTCTTGGGTTAAGGATTTTAAAATATGTTCACTGTTGTCAGTTTAGAGTGTACAGATAAACAGATTCAAATGAAAATCATTAATGATCCCATCAACAGGAAATAGTCACTGCTAATGTTTTGTACATCCTTTAGTCAATAAATGTGTGTATATTGTTAATAACCTTATTTGTTCCCTTTAATATGCTGCATATCCTGCTTAAAGCCCTTACAATCTATCACAGATATGTTAAGTTGAAATATTTTATCCCAAGTGGGGAGTTTGACCTTTCTGGGGGAGTTCTTTCAACTTGCCCCTGAGATCTTTTCTTTCTCTTCTTTTTCTCCTTAGTCTGCCCTGTTGCCATCATCTCTGGACAGGGGACTGTATCATGCATGTACTGGGAATATAAACAGGGACTCCCAAGACATTTGCCCATCCCTCTTTCTACTGCTGTTGTGGGTCTTGGTCACAGGCCCTGGGGTAGACTGCGTGGAACCAGTGGCCCAAATCTACCATTTGTGCATATTTCATCTACTTGGGGCACATGAACTTTTGTGCAGTATTAGAATTTGAGTAGACTCCGGGAGTTGGTGATGGACAGGGAGGCCTGGCGTGCTGTGATTCATGGGGTCGCAAAGAATTGGACACAACTGAGCAACTGAACTGACTGACTGACTGACTTCCTTAATGAATGCTGACTGCATCAAAAAAGACAGCATTGTGTATAGAACATCTGGCACATAGTTGTTGTTTAGTTGCTCCATTGTGTCCAACTGTTTTGGGACCACATGGACTGCAGGTCAGCAAGGCTTCTCTGTCCTCAAGATTTCCTAGGCTAGATTACTGGAGTGGGTTGCCATTTCCTTCTCCAGGGGATCTTCCCAGCCCAGGGATCCCACCTGTGTCTCCTGTGTTGGCAGGCAAGTTCTTCACCACTGAGCCATCAGGGAAGCCTGGCACATGTTAGGTGTGAGTAAATGTCACTTTTCGTTGTTCTTTTTCCCTTGTAATTCCACAGGACTTGATGCTGAGGGGGAACTATGGGATGATGATGAAGGTGCCCCTTCCTCCTGCAGGTGAACGTGAGCGTGTCATGGGGAGAACTGCGGTGCTCTGCAGGAAACTGCTGAGGTAAAGTCAAACCCATGAAGTTAAAAGGGGTCAAACTGTATAGCGGAGGGGTAGGCTTCCATCTGCTGAAGGAACACATGAAGTCTAGTGGAAGAGCACTCAGGGAAAGCTCTCTCAAGAGCCAACCTGCAAAAACATTTGTTTAAATTGAATGAAAATAAGGTCGGATCTATTGTGCTGAGCAATTAACATCAGAAGTTTTTAAAAACTACCACACTGATGGCTTATCACACTTTTTCCACCTCAGATTCTTATGCCTCATTGCAACATTTCTTTCTACTCTTGATAAATTTTCACTGAAACCCAACTAAACTTTGCCAAGTAGTTTCTGACAAAGGAAATTTAAAGATCACATTGTGAATTTGGCTATCTGCTTAATTTTTATTTCATGAAATAAAGTGAAAGTGTAACACAAAGGAAATGACCTATTTATTTACTAGAGGTGTATCTTCCTTGTCTGGGGCATGTGTGTATATTTGTATTATGATTGACTTTTCTTGAACCACACAGAGGTTATTACATTTTTTAATCATTAAATTTATTGGCTTTTAAGTAAAATATTTTGACTTTTGCCTTTGTAGCATGTGTAGGGACATTTTGCCCAGAATTACACAAATATTCATTTGTGTTTTCTTTAGGCACTATCATGGTTTTCATTATTTCAAGTTCTGATCCATCTGAAAGTACAGTTGACCCTTGAATAATAGGAGTGTGAACTGCCTGGGTCCACTTATATGCAGATTTTTTTCAATAAATACCACTGTACTGTATGATCAGAGGTTGGTTGAATCTGCAGATATGAACCTTGGATATAGAGGGCTGACTATAAAATTAATTATGTGAGGATTTTCAGATGCATGGGTGGTGAGGTGGATTAGTGTCCCTAACCCTCAAATTGTTCAAGGGTCAACTATAGTTTGTTGTAATATATGAGATAGATATCTGGCTTTATTTTCTTTCAAGTGTTAATCACTTCTCCTGTTCATTAAGTAATCAGGTTTTACTTGGGATGTGAAGTGCCACATTTATTGCATGAGAGATTTACATATTTGGGTCGTTATGCTTTATTTAGCTGTAAATCTTTTCTGGAGACAGTATGAAATACTTTTTTTAATATAATTGTACAATATATATTAATATTACATGGACCTATGTACACTCATTATCTTGTGTTTCCCAAAGTGTCCAAAGCTGTTCCTGTACCTTTTTTTCTTCCAGATGAACTTTAGAATCGCTTGTTAAAAAAAATTTTTTTGAGATTGTGACTGGAATTGACTAAAAATATAAATAATTCAGGGCTGAATTAGGAAGTCTTTCTGTCCTAGAAAGACCTCACAAGTGTGTGAGGAAGTCTATTTTTATAGTCCCCATTGGTGGTTTTAGTTTGCTTTAGACTATGAACCGTACACATTTCTTGTCAAGTATATTTCTATGTTTTATGTATTTTTTTCTGATATGCATAGATTTTTTATCCTACCTTTTTATTTGTTTAAATAAGAAGGCCGTTGATATTACAGTACTATGTCTGTTGGTCTGGAAAGATGGTTTGCATAATGCGAAGAAAGCAAAAACAGTTTTTAAATGTGACCTTATATTTTTGTTAAAAATATCCAGATTGTTTATACTACCTCTTAAGTGTGGTTATGTTTGGTCACAAGTAAGAATTTTTTTTTATTTAGTTTATATACATTTCTAAGTTTTGTCACCATATTTTACTTTTGTAATAGTAATTATGTCTCTTTGTTTAGTTCTTATGTGTGCCAGTTCCAGTTCTAAAATGAATATATTTTCACAATTTAGGGTATATAAAGGAATCATTTCTTGTGTAACTGGAAAGAACCTCAGTATATATCTCTGAGTTGATACCAAGGGCTGAATCACAGGAAGACATGAAAGGGAAGAGTTTGGTGTCTGAAGCGCTGCTTTAGTGTGTCATAGGGATGAGCAAGCTGTGTTTCTGTGGAACTAAGGTGACGGAATGTGTGCGTGGAAATAAGAGCTGATTCCAGGATGTATGGTGAGTGTGTGAACATATGTGTACATGAATACAAACAAATAACTTTATGATTTTGGAAGTACATATCTTGAATGTAGGGCTTCCCAGGTGGCTCAGTCATAAAAGAATCCACCTGCCAATTGAGGAGATGCAGGTTTGGCCCCTGGGTCAGGAAGATCCCTGGAGAAGGAAATGGCAACCTACTCTAGTACTCTCACCTGGGAAATCCAATGGACAGAGGAGCCTGGTGGGCTATAGTCCATGGAGTTTGAAAGAGTCAGACATGACTGAGCAACTAAACGACAGCAACCCTGAACGTAGCAAAAAAGAGAAATAGCATTCATTTCTGGTACTTAATAGTCATGCAGTCATTGGCACACTCTAGTTTCATTTTTCATTCTATAAAATGGAGATGTGAAATGCTTTTTTGTCAAATGCCTTTTGGGTTGTCTGTGAGGGTTGTTATAAAGTGCTTAGTATTTTGTCCTATATATTGAAAGCACTCAGATGTGAGAGCTATTGTTATTACCAGGAACTAGTCACTTTCCTTTTAATATCTCATTTGTTCCTCAGAATCCCCGTGGCGTTACATAGTGACTAAAGAGTAATTCCAGAAATATATACTGTCTATGCATCAAACAACATAACTTTAAGCATATAATCCAAACATCAACAGAAGTACAGGGGAAAACTGGCCAATCTGTAATATTGGGAGAATTTAACATACTTCGTTTAGAAATTGATATGATTGGCAGACATAAATTAGGAAGGTTATAGATTTTAAACCTTAGTTTCCTATTTGTTCTTACCCAAAGTCACAAAACCAGGAAAAGGAAAAAGTTGATTAAAACTTAGATCTGTTTTAATACAGATCACATAAGCTTTCCAAAAGTCTGTCAAACACAGAGCTGCCTTGTCCTTCCTAGCACCTGTTCCTCAGTGGACACTTAAGTGGATCTCAGGATTGCTTCTGCTGAGTAATCTTTATCTGTGTACAGAGACATAGACTTCTGCCATTCTTTTATATCACATTCTATTTCTGTCCCTGGCAGTCCTGTGTCAGCTATACAGAAAACACACTCTGGCCTTAAATGATTATGAATTCCTATTTCCTAGCAAGAAAGGAGGGGATTTTAGGTGCACTATGAATATACCAATTGAAGTGCATTGGTCCCCAGGTTCACAGATCCTGATTCCCCACAAATAAGCCTGCTCCTGTGAGACAAGAAAGGCATTCCCAGCAGAGAAATTCATTCCTGGTATTGAACACTTCACTCCCAAGCTTCGGGGTAAAAGCAGAGGCCACAGGACTGAACAAACCTCAGACTTGCTGATCATCTCACACAGGCTGCAGAAATGACCATGTTACAGGTGAGTTTGTATTTATTCCTCATTATTTTTCCAGGGGATTATAAGAGGTATGTAAGACTTGAGTGAAAAAGGAAAGATTACATTGTTAAGAAGTCAGGGGAAGATACCCTCAGAATGGAAGATCCAAACTGGGACA